TTCCCTCTGCCAAACATTGATCAACTAGTGGATGAGACCGCGGGATGCGAAATCATGTCATTCCTCGACGCATTCCGCGGATATCATCAAATATACATGCATGAGGAAGACGCTGAAAAAACTGCCTTCATGACACCCGAAGGCATCTTCTGCTATCTTGTGATGGCCTTCGGTCTAAAAAATTCAGGCGCCACCTACACACGCATGGTGGCTAGGGTCTTTCAAGCTGTCCTAGGACGCACCATGGAGGCTTACGTTGACGACATGATCGTCAAAAGCAAGAAGGCAGGCACTCACGCCGACGACCTCCGGGAAATCTTCGCCATCATGCAAAAATTCAACCTCCGGCTAAATCCAAAGAAGTGCACCTTCGGCGTGCAGGGAGGAAAGTTCTTGGGCTACATGGTAAGCCGAAGGGGTATTGAAGCCAACCCCGAAAAGATTCAGGCCATCATCAACATGGAGCCTCCACGCAACGTCAAAGAAGTTCAACGGCTGACGGGTCGCCTGGCGGCCCTCAACCGATTCCTCTCCAAGTCAGCGGAGAGGGCCCTCCCCTTCTTCCAAATCATGAGGAAGACGGCGGGTTTTCAATGGACACCTGAATGTCAAGAGGCCTTCGACGAACTCAAGAAGTACCTCTCCTCTCCCCCAGTGCTCTCCAAACCAAAGGTGGGGGAGACTTTATACTTATATCTCGGTGTTAGCCCTGCGGCTATCAGCTCAGTACTAATCCGAGAAGAAGACGGCATCCAACATGCCATCTTCTACGTCAGCAAAACCCTCCGGGAGGCCGAACTCAGGTATTCTCCCGTCGAGAAGACGGTGCTAGCCATCGTTTGGACCGTCAAGAAGCTTGGCCACTACTTTCAAGCTCATCCAGTCCAGGTGCTCACTCATCAACCCCTCGGCGCCCTCATGAGGAGCCCCACAAGTTCCTCTCGGATGGTAAAATGGGCCATCTTCCTCAGCCAATACAACATAGACATCCGTCCGAGGCCTGCCATTAAGGGCCAAGCCCTGGCGGACTTCGTAACGGAATGCACCGCAAGATCAGCAACTGACGAGGAGCCCTCGGCACCCCTCGATGAGTGGTGGACCCTCTACACCGATGGCTCCTCGGCCGCCAAAGCATGCGGAGGGGGAGTAGTTCTGATCACACCCGAAGGCTTCCGCGCCTATTACGCCATCCGCTTCTCCTTCAAAGTCTCCAACAACGAGGCCGAGTACGAAGCCCTCCTCTGTGGCCTTCGGCTGGCAGCAAATCTGAAGGCCAAGATGGTCCACGTTAAGTGTGACTCGAAACTTGTCGTGGGTCAAATCTCCGGGGAATACGAAGCCAAGGAAGGGAGGATGAAACAATACAAAGAAGCGGCTAAGGAGTTGCTCAAGGTATTTGAGGCACATTCCCTCACCCAAATACCGAGGGCTCAAAACTCCGAGGCCGATATTCTATCAAAGCTCTCGGATGAATCCCCCGAGCACCTCTCCAAAATTGCAAGAATTGAGGAACTCAGCCTCTCAAGCATCCACGCGAGCCCCGTCATGAACATTAACCTGAGGCCGGAGGATTGGATCTCCGACATCATCGCCTTCATTACCACAGGGCAACTGCCCCAGGACGAAGCCCGCGCCAAGTTAACGAAGCTAAGGGCTCCCAGCTACACCCTCGAGAATGGGAGGCTTTACAAAAGATCTTACAACGGCACCCTCCTTCGGTGCCTTCATCAAGATGAAGCCGAAGTCGCTATGGAGGAAGTGCACAGTGGCACTTGCTCGGCCCACCAGGGACCCTTCTCCATGTCCCGAAGGCTCATAGTTCAAGGCTACTTCTGGCCCACGATGGCTAGAGATTGTGCTGATCTAGCCCGAAGGTGCACCGCTTGCCAACACTTTCAGAAGGCCCCCGGCAGGCCCGCAGTCAACTATGCTCCCATCAGCACCGCTGTACCCTTCTCCAGATGGGGTATTGACCTAGTCGGCCCTCTGCCGAAGGGTACCTCCAACAATAGGTATATCATTGTGGCCATTGACTACTTCACCAAATGGGTAGAGGCCGAACCCCTCGCTAGCATCACGGAGGCCCGGTGCCGTCACTTCGTCCTCAAGAACATTCTCACAAGATTTGGCGTCCCCCAACAAATCATCTCCGACAACGGGACTCAATTCGAAGCGGCCGCCTTCTGTGCCCTCCTTGAGGCTTGGGGCATCAAGCACACATTCTCTTCCGTTGCCTACCCTCAGGGCAACGGACAAGTAGAAAATGCCAACCGCACCCTCCTCGAAGGGTTGAAGAAGAAGCTGGAAGCCGAAGGGGGAGGCTGGGTAGAAGAGCTCCACAACATCTTATGGGCCTACCGCACCACCCCTCGGCGTGCAACAGGTGAAACCCCCTTCTCCCTATGCTATGGCTTTGAGGCTAAGGCTCCCACAGAAGTAACTCTTCCCACCCGAAGGGTTGAGCAATATGAGCCCGAGGCAAACGAAGCCAACATGGCCCTCGACCTTCATCTCATCTCAGAACGCCGAGAGCAAGCTTTTCTCAGGGCCGAAAACTATAGGAGACAAGTCAAAGGATACATCGACGCCAAGGTCCGCTCCCGGGAATTCCAGGTGGGAGACTACGTTCTCCGACGAAGGGAGGCCAGTCTACCCACCGAAGGAGGAAAGATGGCACCCAAGTTTGAAGGCCCCTACATCATCTCAGCCATCATCAAACCGGGGACATACAAGTTAAAACGTCCTAATGGGACAGAGATTCCTAGACATTGGAATGTGCACCACCTAGTGAAGTTTTACCAATGAGTGGCCAAGCCCTCACCCTCAACAAGTGTAAACATCAATGGCCCAAGGCCCCATCTGTTTTTGAAGAATAATCAAAAGGCCAAGCCTTCACCACCTACATATTATACAAGAGGCCCAAGGCCCCCTCATCTCTTCACCATAAAAGGCCCAAGGCCACTCCCTCTTCTGAGGGGGAACAACAATTTAGGTACCACGTACCAAGTGTATGGGCCACCCCCATCACTCTTTGAAAACACCAAGTGTTTTCAAAGACTTTTACATATTCTCCCAAAAAAAAAAAAAAAAAAAAAAAAAAAAAAAAAAAAAAAACCCGGGGGTTGCAACACCCCTCGGTTCCGGCTGGTACCAAGTGCCCCCGGCTATTTGTGTTCTACACACAAATAAAACCCTTCCCAGGAACGCTTTCCGCGCCATCCCCCAAGGGGAGGCAGGCAACGGACCATGTCCCGGGCCCAGGATTCGACTTCCACAAACGAAACGCTCCCCGCGCTATCCCCCAAGGGGAAGCAGGCAACAGACCATGTCTCGGGCTGAGGGGACGACTTTCAAAACCGAGGCGCTTTCCGTGCTATCTCCCAAGGGGAAGCAGGCAACAGACGATGTCTCGGGCCGAGGAAACGACCCTCAAACCCTTCGGGATATCGGAAGGTCATTCCCGAAGGGGGAGCCAACGGTTTGTTCCGTTGCCTCCCATATAGGCCAAGCCTTTCCTAGAAACCAAGTTTCTAGATGCCTCTTCTACACCATCAAAAAAAAAAAAAAAAAAAAAAGATGTGTAGGGGGGAAGGAACTCCCCGGATACTATTCTCCCCGGAGGCTCAACACTTCGGATATACATTCCCGAAGGCTCCTACAAAGGCACAAGAAAAGGGCTACACAGCCGAAGGCTCCCCTACACAAAGCCTTGGACTACAACGGTTTCCCCGGAAGCCCAAGAAGAGGGCTCACTAAGCAAAACTTCACCTAAATTTGGCTAAGGCCGAAATTCGGGTGGACCAAAGTCAACTACATGACATGCCGAAGGCTCCACAAAATTCAAAGGCAAGCTGAACCTACATCTACCGGGGCCTCATTCAACGATGAAAAAATTTCACTAAGTCCATAATCTTGGACCCCTCGGCAACAGTACACACCAGTGGCCCAAGCAACTCTCACGCCCGAAGGTCCACTACGACACCTATGGAAGCTTTGTGGAAATTTACCTAAGTCCACGATGGGGGAGTCCTTCGGGGGCAAAACGGGATACTATCTTCACCAACCTTCGTACAGCCGATGGCCCCCTAATCTACTTGGCAATAACCTAATGCTACACTACGGTCGGGGGCTCGCCACTACCGAGGGCATAGTCACCAAGGACATGATCTAAGTTCTTACTCAGGAAATTTTCTAAGTCCACAGCGGCAAGCCCCCCGATGGTCCTACGCTACGGCCGAGGACTCATGAGTGGGCTTACACTTAGAAAGATTTCTAAGTCCACATCAACAACCTCCGGCTATTCTACAAAACATCCGAAGGGTTCTAATCAAGTTTTACTTGGAAAACCCCCGGTAATTCTACGCTACAGCCGAAGGCTGCGGCCAAGTTCTACTCAGAAAATATTCTAAGTCCACAAAGTTTTGCCCTCTGCTAAACATACGGAAGGAAACAAAAGCATACATTCATACACGGAGGCAGCAAATTGAAACACAAGCGCAAAAAGGACGAAAGGCATTCATTCATATAAGAAGCCCGGAGGCATATTGCATTCATTAAAAAAAAAAAAAAACAGTGTTAACAAAGGATGTTTGTTTACAAATAAGGCCGAGGCCGAGGCCTACAACTATTACATCAAAATATGGCAAGTAAAATCTCAAGCCTGGCCCCCCCCGGTGACGTCATCCTTCAGTTTCGAGGCTGCATCATCCTCAGCTTCTTCCTCATCATCCGAGGCCAGCTTGTCCATCTCTGAGTCCTCGAGCAAAGGCCTCTCCTCGCCTTCGGGCATGGGGGTTTGGAGGTCAGGAAGCAGAGGGGGAAGACCAAACGGAGCCGGGTCGAACTCTTTCGGGTCCACCCCATGGTGCCGGGCCAACTTGCGATAAATCAGGGCTTGAGTGAAGTACTGTCCGCCTTCGAAGAAACTTTTGCCTTTCAGCGCCAACCACATGGCCCCGGACCCCTTCACCCAGCCATCGGCAGATGCCTCCACCACTGAGGCCACCCACTGCTTCTGCTCTTCGGCCTTCCAGCCGTCGGCAATAAAAGCCGCCACCGCCTCCTCCCTGGCCTTAGAGATAGCTTCCGCTTTAGCCTCCTCAGCCTTCTCGGCGGCTATCCTAGCGGACTCAGCAGCGGCCCTCTCGGCTTCAGCTTTCCCCTCGGCCCGGGCTTCCTCCTTGGCTGCCTCCAGTTTCTTCTCCGCCTGCCGGAGGGCCTCCTCCAAATTCGCCAGCTGCCGAATGGCCTCAGTATTGTTGGCCACCAGCTTCCTCGTCACCTCGGCGGATTTAGCCCTCTCAAGGCGATGCTGCTCCGCCCTACGAACCAGTTCCCCGAAGGCCAGGCTCGCCTGCAAACATATAAGGAGGCACTCAATATCAGATTGTTCAAAGGAAAGAAAAGAAAAGAGGGATTAAGGGCGCAAAAAATCTAAACACTCACGGTGGCCGAAGCTTGGAGAGCCTTGAGTTCGAGGGCTTCATCCCCAAACCGGCTGAGGGTGGACCGATCTACCGAGGGAGTGGCACCCTTCAAGAACTCCCTCGGGTCGAGGGTGCCATGCATGATGGCTGTTCCCTTTTTGATTGGGAAGTGTACAGTCTCAAGGGGCCAGGCCCCCTCGACAAGATCCTCCAGGGGAGCAGAGGCTGACGGTTGGCCGGCGGGGGGATCGTCAATGATCACCAGGGGGGTATCCTTTGGCTCAGCGTCCCCCTTCGATTTCTTCCTTTCCGGAGGCTTGACGCCCTTCCCGGCGTTTTTTCCGCTTGAGCTCCCCCTCCTTGGAGCCTCCGGCATCAGTACCGGCACCAGCGATTGCAGTCCCCTTCGGGGGGCCTTGGCCCTCAGGGGTCTCCTGCTTCTTCAAAAGGGCGTCCACCTGCGGTTGCGTCGGAGGCCTCTCCTCCTTCTTCTTCTTATCCTTGGCCAGTTGCCGGGACAGCTTAGAGAAAGCTTTCGGATCCATGAAATCGCCTGCAAAAGAACAAGAAGGAGTTAGAATCAAAAGCAAATCAAAGACTTACGTCTCTAAGCACTAAACAACAAGGGCCCTCGGCAACCACCTCTGATACCCGGAGAGCCCCGGTCAAGGAGAGGATATCTCTCATCCTTCTCCCCCGGCAAGCGATACCGCTGAAATTCTAATTTGAGCAGCTCCTCCGGAAGCGTGGCGGCCTTGATAGTCGTCAGCTTTTCTGAACCAGGCGGCTTCGCCTTCAGCTTTCTCCCATTGGCCTCAAGGGCAGCGTTGCCCACCTTAGGGTGTCTCTGAAAATGGTTGCGAAGAGGCCTCGGGAAGGTCACTCCCGGCATCCTGAGGTAACAGAAACGGTCCCTCCATCCCTTGTGAGACGAAGGCACCTCCGAGAAAAGCCTCCACGCCGGCACTTGTTGGAGGTTGGCGAAGCCCTCGCTATTGGCAGCACCCCCTCGACACAGGTTGAAGGATAGAAAAATTGATCCAATGTGGGGACAACCCCTCGGCTTCGACATTGCGAGAGAAACCCTGTGATGTACGAATGACTATTCGGGGTCAGTTGGCAAGGAGCGAGACCCACGAACCGAAGGTATTCCACCAGAAAAGGGTGGAGCGGGAATCGGAGACCCAACTCCACCGAAAGGATGTGCACCGCGTAACAGCCCTCTGGAGGATGCAATAACACATCGTCAGGCCCCGGAACCACCACCTGTGCCGACGGACCGACCAACAGTTGAATTTTGAGATACTCCGCCTCCCCGGCCTTCGTTTTCAATTCGAGGGCGGCGGTGTTGAGATACGAGTGGCCCTCGGGTATTCCCACCGGCTGACCTGCGTCGATAGCAGCCTGCTTCTTCTTCGTGGCCGCATGGGTCTTCTTCTTCTTTTTCCCGGGAGCGACGCTTATCGGTTCCGGATCTAGGGGCCGGGAGCTACTGGCTTCGCCGGCGCCACGAAGGGGGAGTGCGGCGACGGTCACCCTCTGCCGCTCTTTCTCCTCCTCTTCCTCGGCGACTTGGAGCGCGAGGGCAAGCTCTTCGTCTTCCGCCACCTGCTCGAAGTCCTCCGCCTCCAGCTCAGTCCGAAGGGTGTCTTGGACTTCCTCGGCGATGGCAGCGTCATTGTTGACCGACGAGTGGTCACTTGAGGACTCAACCTCGGAATAGCTCTCCGATTGAACCGGGGCCTCCACGGAAATATCTTGGGAGTCGCTGGCCGAAGACATCTTCTCGAGAACAGGGAAAAGGGGGAATATAAGAGAACTAACTGGAGGCTCCTAAGTATTCCCTAACACTAGATTTAAGGCCAGTGAAGCGAAATACGCTAAGTGTGTGGGAAAGGAGGAAGAACTGACCTCAAAGATTGCGTTTGATCGAAGGCTGAAGTTTCTCTCTCTAGAAAAAATGGCAGAGCTCCGCTATCTCTCTAAGTTCGCACAAGAACAAATGAGCTCAGGCTCAGGGTATTTATAGGCAGTGGGCCTCGAGAACTGGGCCTCGATTTGAAAAGCCCATCATTACGGGCCGCCGCCTCAGCCAATGAATGACAGCCGCCCACCCCCAACCAACAAGGGCACGCCACGTCAACCCCTCCTCCAACGGCTATATTACAACGACTATATTCCGGCACCACTGAAGTGCCTTCGAATGATAGCCTCCGGCTATCACCCGCCACACCCTACGGACAAATAATTCCACCAAACGCCTTCGAGCCCGTAGCAGTATAAGCCTTCGGCTTGTCAATGTTATCACCCCTCGGGGGATCATCAACTCATCATAACTCCTTCAGCCCGAACTTGCCTTCGGCCTAAAGGAGTGGGAGACTGGGATACACCCCTCGGGGATCATACACAACCAAAAATTCTTCATGCAACAATTTACAATTGACGCATACGGCCTCCGGGCAAACATCACAATACATGCAGACAAGACATCTATGCTTTCCTCAGAAAACCCTCGACGTGTGAGGGACTGAGGGGGAGCCCCCGGCGAACATACGAAGGTTACGAGTACCTTCCCTCAGAAAACCCTCGACATGTGGGGGACTGAGGGAAGCCTTCGGCAATCAACAGAAGACAAGTTCTCAAACAAAGGCACCCAGACAGGCGATGAAGCCCCCGGAAGAATCATCACATCTACTCCTTTTCCCTCAAGTACCTTTCGGCAAAAGGAGTGAGGGACTCCTGATGGAGTATATGGCCCAGGAACCCCCGGCCCAAAGACTCCTACTAATCTATCACAAGCCCAACAAGCTCAAGGAGCTCAGGAGGCCCAAGATTCGGCGGCCCAAGCGTCAAGAAGGCCACGGTACACACAGGGATGCCTTCGGCCACCTTGGCCGAAGGCTCCAGAACTCACAGAACCGCCATATTCGACCATGCGAAGCTACTGGGAGAAATTGACAGAAAACGGGAGCCCTCGGCACCAGGGGAATCCCTCGGCTCAGCCAAGCCTTCGGCTACACAAGGAGCCCTCGGCTACGCAAGAAGCCTACGGCTGAACTAGCTCAATCATCGAAGATTCCTTTTAGAGACAGCCAACCACCGCATTTAATGCCACGTCGCATCCGCCAACCGCATTCAATGCGGTTGACGTACCACTGCCGGTGCCACTAGGCTGATGTGACCCTTCGGCCGTTGGATTACTGACACGTGTCCTCTCACCGCATTTATTGCTGCTATAAATAGCAGCCCATTCCTCCTTGTAATCGACACAATCTACATCTCAACTCCACACGCTGAGTTCATTTTAATAAAATCGACTCTCTCTCCTCCTATTTACTCTGACTTCTCTCTAGTTATTCCCGCAATAACCCCTCGGATAGGATACCCCCCGGGTAGACAATCCATCACACATGTTGATGATAGGGTCTGGGTACAAGTTGCCATACTTCATTTCGTTCAAATTGGTTGAGTTCTTCTTGCATGGCTAGTATCCAGTCTGAGTCTGAGAGGGCTTCTTCAATTTTCTTGGGTTCATTTTGTGAGATGAAGCAAGAGAACATAGCTTCTTTCTGGAATGATGATCTAGTTCGAACCCCTTCATGGATGTTTCCTATGATTTGTTGAGGAGGATGTTGATTTGTCCATCTGATGTCAGAGGTTCTGTTGACTTGAGTTTGTTGCTCATCCTCCTCTTCACTATCTTCTGGTAGAGTTGGAGGAACAGGAACTTCAGTTCTTGTGAATGATTCAGCTGGTTGTTTTGGAGAAGTGGTTTGAATTGATCCATCAGCTGGTAGTTGTCCATTGTTTGAGACACCTGCAGCTTCATGATTTTTGTTGGTGTTGGGAAGGCAGCTTGGAGCCTTTCCAGTTATCTTTTCTTTCCCAGATGATTCTCCTTCTACCATTTTGTTGGCATAGGAGTGATTGTCAAAGGCCACATGAATTGATTCTTCTACTGCCAGAGTTCTTTTGTTGAAGATTCTGAAAGCCTTACTATTTGTTGAGTAGCCCAAGAAGATTCCTTCATCTGATTTTGGATCAAATGATTTGAGATAGTCTTTTCCATTGTTTAGAATAAAACATTTGCATCCGAATTCATGGAAATAATTGATTTTTGGCTTTCTTTCTTTCCATAGCTCATATGGAGTCTTCTTGTAAGTCTTATGAATAAGACTTCTGTTCTGGGTGTAGCAAGCTGTGTTTATTGCTTCTGCCCAAAATCTTTTGGGTAGACCGGCTGCTTCAATCATGGTCCTTCCAGCTTCCTTGAGTGTTCTGTTCCTTCTTTCAGCAACACCATTTTGTTGAGGTGTTCTTGCTGCTGATGTTTGGTGATGGATTCCGGATTCTTCACAGTACTGAATTACTGTTGAATTTAGAAATTCAGTACCTCTATCTGACCGGATCTTTTGTATTGAGATGCTCTTTTCATTCTGAAGGAGTTTCATCAGTTCTGGGAGCTTCTTCTCAGTTTCACTCTTCTTTTTCATGAATAGGGTCCATGTGAATCTGGAATAATCATCTACCACAACCAGAGTGTATCTTTTGCCACTTAAACTTGTTGGGTCAATTGGTCCAAACAAGTCAAGGTGCAGTAGGCTCAATGGTCTGGTTGATGATGCATCATTTTTGTTTTTAAAGGGTACTTTTGTTTGTTTCCCTTTTTGACATGCATTACATAGATGATCCTTTTTGTAATTGATATCTGGAAGACCAATCACCAATCCTTTCTTGGACAGTTTGTTGATGGTTTTGAAGTTGAGATGGCTGAGCTTGTTATGCCATTCCCAACTTAGATCTGAATCAGCTTTTGTTACTAAGCAGATTCCTTCCTTTGCAGTTTTCCAGTCAACAATGTACATGTCCTTCCTTCTTCTACCAGTGAGCACAATTTCATTATTTTTGACATCTCTGATCAAGCAGATGTCTTTGGAGAATGTTACATTATAGCCATTGTCACAAAGCTGGCTTGTGCTTATTAAATTGAACTTTAAACCCTTAACATAAGATATGTTTTGGATTATAAGTCCTTTTCTTACTAAGTCTCCAGCTCCTTTGGTTTCTCCTTTCCTTTCTTCATTCCCAAATGTCACTTTGGGTCCTTCCCTTGCCATGTAGTTTGACAGCAGCCTTTTGCTTCCTGTCATGTGCCTGGAGCAGCCTGAATCTATGTACCATTCTGTTGAATTAGCTGCTCCAGCACCCTCCTATATTTATCAGTGTTGAGCAGCAGCCCACAAGTTAGTGGGCTTCTTTCCTTGAACAAGTTTAGGCATCCATGCCCATCTAGAACCATCTAATTCTAAGCAGACTGGTCTATAGCCGTTTGGGGTGTTG